AGAATGAAACTTTTCAGATAATGGACTTCGTGTTCCTATCTGGATTGGCCAGTCAGTCTTAGTGAACTCAAGTACTCAGAATTGTGCTTTATATACTTGTGGTGAAACTGGCTAAGAGCCAGAGCATGGACAAGGAGGAGTGTGTGAGCTCTATTCTGTTTTCCAGGAAGGTATGCCCTGTAGGTCAGTAGTGCAGCAGTGTTAGAAAGATGTGACATTAAACGTGAAAACAAGTCCTTCCAGAGTCTCATCTCTGTCCTGCGATGTGTAGTGCAGGCCACCACTATGGCCTAGCCATGGATTCTGACTCAGGAAGACACAGGTTTCCTATGGATTGTGAGCAATACCATACATACTTTCTCTTTCTCTCTACCAATTCACAATCTGAATTTGAGGACAACCAGTTGCCTAACACCCCACTTGACAATAGTAAGAGCCACAGTTTATTAGGAAACTTCAACCTTAAGCTACAGTTCCTGAATGTTTCCAGGAAGAAATGGGTGATAGAAAAAGAATTCCCGGGCTGGGAAGGTGGCTCAGTGGTAGAGCGCTTGCCTTGTATACATGAGGCCCTGGGCTTGATTCCTCAGCACCACGTAAGCAGAAGAAAAAAAAAAAAAGCCGGAAGTGGTGCTATGGCTCAAGTGGTAGAGCGCTAGCCTTGAGCTGAAGAGCTAAGGGACAGCGCCCAAGCCCAGAGTTCAGGCCCCATGACCGGACTTCCCCCCACCAAAAAAAAAGAAAAGAATTCCCATGGAGACTCTGTAGCAATTCTCTTCTTCTCAAGTACAACAGGCTCTATTTCTGGAATCAGAAGAGTAAGATTCAATCCTCTGGAAATACCCAAGTATCTCATCCATCACTTTCCTTGTATCTTCTGAGTTCCTGGGTACCTCAGATTTTTTGAGGAAATCCTGAAGACATTATCAATAGATGTGTGTGAAATAGGCCAGCAATCAAGGAGACATTTGTTGTGGGTAAGAGGCAATGATGCCAAAGCTGAGCATCCATCCATGTCTGAAGCACCATGATGAAGAAAGGGAAGATGCTCCAAGCACAAAGGCCTTGAAATGTTGGGTCCCTATCCCCTGACACGCCACTCCTTCAATTACTCCCCTTCCTCCTTCCCTCTACCCTTCTGGTGTAACCAGGGAATGCCACAGAAATTTTTTTAAAAATTCCTTTTGGGAGGGAGAGGGAGGAAATAGTTTGATGTGAGTTGTTCATCAGGCTTCCCCTTCAAATAGAATCTGACTAGCTTTAGGAAACGCACATAATACTATAGGAAAAGAAAATAATAAAAGATGGAAAAGCAAAAGGTGAAGTCTGATCAATGAAGTGAGGAGCTGCAAACCAAAGAGACTCTTCTGTTTCAGAATTAGACCCTAAGTTCTAGAGCCTCCTGGAGGCCAGGATTCAAACCATTTTGAATTCAATCATCAAGAGGATACCAAATTCTATCACAAATGCCAAGGTTCCATTAAAAAAATAAGCTGGCCAAGGCCAATGTTCCTGCAGATAAGCAAGTATATTCTGTTTCCCTATATAGAGATACGTTTCTGGGCAACTTCAGGAGCAGGGTTCTCCAGATGTGGTCATGCATGAACCCCAGCCCTATTGCATGCTGGTCACAGAAGGATCCTCTTGTCCTGCCCCAGGTGCTTCGCAAAGAAGCTTTGTTCATCACTGCCTCCAGAGGGCGCCCTTGAGCCACTTTCTGCTGGTTTTGGCTGCCTTTATGTAGGAGTTACTCATTTCTCCAAAACACGGAATATGGCCAAGCCAAATTCTATGTGGAAAGAAGAGAAAGAAGGTCCCTTTCCATTTGTGTCACTTGTGTCACCTGCCACCAAAGTAGGGTTTCCTGAGCCCTAGTAGCCCTCAAGACTTCAGTGCCAACAGTAATCAGCCCCAGGTCTGCAGCTTCTCTTCTGCTTGGGCTCAGTTGAACCCATAAGGCCACCCCAGGACCAGACATAAGAGACTCTTGCCTTCCCAGTCTCCACTGCTGTGGCCCTCATCCTCTAGGGGGCACAATTATGGGGGTATTTCCCTACAATGAGAATGTGAAACTAGAAATAAGTATCTTGTAATGATAGTCATGAGCCAAATCTACATGCAAGGAGAATTGCTAATACTTCCCTGAGTTGAAAATCAGTGTCAATTTGTTCAGTATGTTTGGGCAAAATTATTTCATTAGCTTCTGCCCTTCACAGTTCTGAGGCTCTTCTGAGGCTCTTGGCTTAATCAAATGGCTCTTAAAGACATTGTCAGCTGTTAGAGAAGATAACCTATTGTATGCTAAAGTACCTGAGCCTCTTTTGTACTCTGCCACCTCCTTCTAGCAGATAGGAGACTCTGACAGAGATCAGATGAAAGATCAAGTGACTGAGGAAAAGGATGGGAAGAGGTTATTCACCAGGGTGCTGGGGTAAGAAAGGAGCAAGCCTTTGCCCTACCTTTAAAGCACTGTACATCTGGAGATAAGTCTAGATTTGCTGAAACTCAAGGAGGAAAAAAAAAAGATGAAAACATGCTAACACCAATGCTGGGAGTGTGAGGAGACAGAGCCAGGAGCAAGAGGAAAACCAACGGCCTGTGCCCCGCTGAAGACCCCTGTGCTACATACAGGCAGCCCTGACGCCCTGGGGCAGTTTGGAGTGGGGACTTCTGAATGGATGGGGTTATGGGATGGTCAGTGGGAGCAGAGGACCAACATTGAAATAAGGGGATGCATCACCTGATTCATTTTTACTTTAGCTGCTGCCTCTAGTCAGAGACAGTTTAGGTAGCTGGGGTACTCAGGTCAGTCAGAATTGTTCTGGGGGAGAGGGTGAGCCACTGCCTCAAACAATGACACCCCCTGAAAGAATGCTTCTTCCCAAGAGTCAAGTAAACAGAAAGAGGGGACCACCTGGGCCCAAGCTTCTGCCCGACCCATGCTACCCTTGCTTTCATGGCTGAACCTCCAGTTAAGAGTTGCAGGAAGGCAGTGACAGATCATGGGCATGGAAAATTCACTTCAAACAGGAGACACTGGCACAGTCCCAAGGTCAGGGAAAGGGTGAGTCAAGTCGGAAGAGGGCTACCATGTCACTTCCACACACAGCTCAGCCTGGCTTCCACAGCAAAGATGTCAGAAAATCCTCCAGGTGTCAGCAAGGAGATCAGTGGCCCCAGAGGACAGTAAGAGTAAGGACAGTCCAGAGCACTTTTAAACAGCACCTGCTTCCCTGTTCTGGCACTTCTCAAGTTCTGTTATAGGCCCGATGCCTCATTTGACGTTAAACATAATCCCTTTGTCAGGAGTTTAACTGCCCTGCACACACAGCTAACTCCAAGGCCTCTCCTCTCCTCTGACCTCAAGCCCAGTATATAAGTGTACTGTGGTCAGGAATACCATTAGGCAAACTTAAGTCTTTTGCCCTTCTGTGACATTTTCATATCCTCCTCATGTCCCCAATTTTGAACGATATGTGTTCTTCCCAGTCTCCCAAGGCTTTCCCCTGTGGTCCTCAAATCTACTTCTGAAACCCCACAGATGTGCCCCTTTCTCTTCAGTGTAACCCCTGCTCTAGTTCAGGCCCTTGCCTTCTAACTGGAACCATGCCATAGTGTCCTAACAGTGGCATAGCTGGTAACTGAAGCTTTTCCAGGTTCCAATCAGCCGCTAGATTCTGATACTTGAACCTGTTTCCCTGGGCCTGGCATTCAAGCTTTCCCTATATATAATCTTACCCAAGTACCTCTCCACTCTCAGCTCCCAACACTCCCTACCTCCCCCAATTCTACACTCCAATAGTGCTAAAAATAATAATTTACAGTCCTTACAGTCCCACATCTGTACCCTGAGTTCATGCTATATCATACTACAGCACCTTTCTCTGGAACTCCCTTCTCTCTTTGGGATCTCTCTTTCCAGCTCTCATAGTTCTCTTATATCATCATCTTATTGTAGTTGCCGACATCTGTTCATTTCAATACAGGACTTATCCCTCAACCCCTGCCATTCAGAATAACATAAGCAAGAAAAAGTAAACTAGCTGTGACCCCAAGTGGGCTGGTTCTGGGGAAGGAAGGTTCTGGAGCAGGGAGAGGGGTTAAGAACTGACCTTGTTCCACGGGCGTGACAAAAGCCTCCCCTCCACCTACTTCCTCACATGTGCACACCACGTTCCAATCACATCCATTAGCTGATAGATACTTCCTACGGTCAGAAATAATCAGAACATGAACAAGGCCCCAATGCCACAGAGAGATCATGGCAAGGGGAATTTGCTTTAAAATTCGGCAACATTTTTGTGTGTGTGCTAGGACTACCTGGGACTTGAATTTAGGGCCTGGGTGCTGTCGCTGAGCTTTTTAATCAGAGCTAGTGTCTCCACTTCCCACCTTTTTGGAAATTAAGTGTCTCCCAGACTTTCCTGCCCGGGCTGGCTATGAAGCATGATCCTCAGATCTCAGCCTCCTTAGTGGATAAGATCATAGGCATGAGCCACCAGTGCACATCTTTTGGCCTACATTTTGTTGTTGTTGTTGTTGCTTGTCAGTTGTTGGGCTTGAACTATGGGCCTGGGGGCTATCCCTCAGCTCTTTAGCTCAAGGCAAGTGCTCTACCACTTGAGCTACAGCACCACTTCCGGTTTTCTAGTGGTTTACTGGAGATAAGTCTCAAAGAGTTTCCTGCCCAGGCTGGCTTTGAACTGCGATCCTCAGATCTCAGCCTCCTGAGTAGCAAGGATTACAGGCGTGAACCACCAATGCCTGGCTTTGGCCTACATTTTTATAAACCCTTCTAAGGAACAACTCTGGAGGCCAAAATGGTAGAGATGAGAAAATCACCCAGGTGAACTTGTCCAACTTGGCCTATGTGAAAAGCTGGTTCAAATGGTCGAACTGGGTAAGACTAAGTAAAGAGAACTCATGATAAAATGCTACCGTGAAGCTGGAACGTGGAACTTCTCAATAGAGAACCACATACCAACTCCCTCTACCTCAGTCTTGTCATCAGGATTAGGAACAAATAGAAGCCAGGGAGGCCAGGGATGAACAAGCAGTGGAGTAGACGCCACTAGCTCTACAAGGCTTAAGTCTGGTCAGCCAAGTATAACAAGAAGCAGAAACCACTTCTGAGAAGAGACTTAAAATATCACTTTGGTTGTGTTTTCCCCAATCCTAGCCAACCCATCTCTCACTCATATTACTATTAAGACGAAATATCATACTCATCACTTTGATAATAGGTTGGCCTTGCTCAAAGCACTTCACCAATTCTAAACAGCCCAGTTCTTCATCTTTAGAGCATCTCAATTTCCATATTTGTTCAAGGGAGAATTCATGAACTAATCACTAGGCTCTAGGTTCTCAGCTCTTCCCCCTCTCACTAGGGAGTCTCATATTTTCCTGAGGATATGCCCTGAGAGCATACTACCCCACAAGAGAACTCCATAGACAGGGCAGAGACCAAGTAACAGTTTGGAATCATTGGTCAGGGTCACTGATTTAATCCCCTAAGTCACGAGTCTGGCTCAAATACTGATAAAGCTCACACATGACAGCAAATACAAGGACAGCCTGAGGCTATTGTGGAGGTCTTTATCGGAGAAAAACAAATTACACTTGAGAAAAGTGCCTTCTGGATCCTTACTTAGTATCTGTAATTCAATTCCAAATTACCTAGCAATTACCAAGACTACTACTTCCCTGGGTATAAAATTGAAAAACTGGAAGATTTCTTTCTGGTATATGGTTTAAAATCTTAGGAAGTGTGAATACACAGGGACTGCTCTTTTGTTGGGAGTGGAGGGGTCCTCCTATGATGTTTTCCCTCCTGTATGGATTCTCCGGTGAGCGCTAAAGTGGGAGCTGTTGTTGAAATCTTTGCCACACTCCATGCACTTGTAGGGTTTCTCCCCTGTGTGGATTCTCTGGTGAATAATAAGACTAGAGCTCTGGTTAAAGCATTTCCCACACTCTCTGCACTTGTATGGCTTCTCTCCTGTGTGAATCCTCTGGTGAGTGATGAGGTTGGAGCGGTCCCGGAAGAACTTCCCACACTCGAGGCATTTGTAGGGCTTCTCCCCTGTGTGGACTCGGCGGTGCGTGACGAGCTTGGAACGCTCACTGAAGCACTTCCCACAGTCCGTACACTTATATGGCTTCTCCCCAGTGTGGGTTCGCTGATGGTTGGCCAGGGTGGAGCTCTTACTGAAGCTTTTCCCACACTCAGCACACTCAAATGGTTTCTCTCCAGTGTGGATTCTTTGGTGGCTGAGGAGAGCAGAGCTCTTTGAGAAACATCTCCCACATTCAAAGCACCGATACAGTTTATCCCCTGAGTTGATACTGTGGGGTCTGGGAGAGCTCAAGTTCCCACCAACTCTCTGAAGTTGCTCAGATATCTTCCCTGCAGAATTCTGCCATGGAACACTAAAAGATGGACTTTGTTCAAAGCCCTCCCCACCAGACTCACTATACTGGTTGGGACTTCCTTCCAAGTGTATCCTCTGATGTTTCAGGAGGTTGGAACTCTGGTTAAAGCTTTTCCAACATTTGCCACATTTATAGGGCTTTTCCCCTGTGTGGATTCTCTGGTGGGTGATAAGATTGGAGTGGTCACTGAAGCTTTTCCCACATTCAAGGCATACGTAAGGCTTTTCTCCAGTGTGGATTCTTTGATGGGTATTGAGGTTAGAGCGGTCACTAAAGCTTTTCCCACACTGCAGGCATTTGTAGGGCTTCTCATCAGTGTGAGTCTGCTGGTGGGCGAGAAAGTGGGAACTCCGGCTGAAGCTTTTCATACAACTATAAGGTTTCTCCACGAGGTACAGGCCTTGGTGGTCGATGAGTTTTTCTAAGTCCTCTTCAGAAGAACAGTCGTCCCACTGTTCCTGGGGAGGCTCTTTCCACTCCCCTGCACCTTCATGCTCATTTTCACTGTCTTCCTCCCAACCAGCTTGACACACAGCTTCAGTATTGCATTTTGCTAAGGCTCCAGGCAAATCCTCAAAAATGTCCTGCTCTGAAATCTGATCTTCATCCTTCAACTCAAACCCTGAAAGAATAGACAGAATACAGTTTTGTTCATTCATTAATTAGCCCTGATGTATCTATCTGTATTTTGTGTCATGTGAATTTGACTAATGTGAACTTGTTATCTTATACCTCACATCTTATAAATGTGACTTACTTGAAATTTATCAAGTTTCAGGGAATATAACCTGCACAGCTCAGCCACACAGTCTGGAACATGATGACCTCAACCAAAAACCCCACAAGGTCCAGACCAAGCAGCTGGCTATTCAGCCTCCCTGGCTAATTACCCTATCTCAGTATTCAATAATAAACACCTCCTTCCTTCTTCTAGTAATTCACTAGACCTTGTGTCATACAAGACTGAGGGGGGGGGGGGGGGGCGGAGCTCCGCAGGGCGGCTCCGTGAAGGCCATGGCGGCCATGGTGGCTTGGCGAAGCCCCGCACCAGGCCAGGTGGGCGGCCCCTCTGACCCCGAGGACTGGAGGACCAGCTCACGGAGGGCGGCGCGGGCCTGGTAACTTCCAAGATTTAAAGTTAATTGATTGCTGGTAGTTGTGAACAAATACAACTTTTGTCCCAGGTGTGTGCCATTTTGAAGACAGTTTTTTATCCTTGAGGACAAAAGGAAACCCCTTGGAAAACCTGTTTTACATAGCAAAAATTTGATTCCCCATATGAAGTAAAAAAGGCCTAAGCAACAAGACATTGGTGGGAACATTTATCAAGCCACCCAACTCAGATTAAAGAGTCAAATGGATCCTTCCACTGAGAAATCAAGATGGCAGTCCAGTATGGGAAACTGAGGAAAATGGATTTAATACAAGAATGTTGTGATATGTACAACCAAGCAGGGTTCTTTAACATGGATTCCATGAGACTGAAGATACAGGTTTCTAACCCACCTCATACAGACATATATGTCATTAAAATTAGAAGAAAGATGACATCTAAACCAGAGGCTAGTTTGTATTCCTGAAACTTTTTTGCAATTTGAATTAAATATGACCTCATGGAATATTAACATCAATAAAACTTCTAACACTTGAATCAAAAAAAAAAAGACTGAGTAAGTTCTATAATTGTCCACATATGTAATCCATACTAAGTAAAAATAATCAGAGAGCTAGAGATTATGTGAGAAAGCCCACACCCTTTTCCTGTTCAATCCCATTCTTAAGGTCACCTATATTTACATGTCTGCGGATCTGTGGACTCCCAAGGGCTCTAGGCTTACCTGTATCTGGAGTTTTAGGGCATGGGGTTGAAGGTTTGATGACATCTCCATCTGCCAACTCACCCCAGGCCTTCTGGTCATCAGTCTTAATATTCTTCTGCCCAGACCCAGGGACCCTGACAATCTCCATAGCCCTGATGGAAGTCCGAGCTCTCATTAATAAATCCAGCTCTTCATAGAAGGGACAGGTCCCTGGTGGTTGACTGCTCTTGGCTTTCCGGTAGCTTCGAAGGAGGTTTTTGAATCGGTAACGACATTGCTCCAGTGTCCGCAAGAAGCCTAATGCACATAGTCGTTCTGCAATGGCCCGGTACACCTGACTGTTTTGGTGACAAGTGCGAAGCTTTTCAGAGAATGGAGACTCACTAAGAATTGCCAGAAAAGCCTTGGTCTCCTCATAGCCCCAGTGCACACCTGCTGTCAGGAGGGAAGAATTCACAAGTGTGAGATTTTAGCAGTGTCTGGGTTATTAAGGACTGGCGTTACCTGCCCTTTTAAGTATCTAGAACACAAGCAACTCAGAAACTGTCCAGATACTTAGGAACACAAACTTGATTCTCAGAAGTCTGCTAGGAAAGTCAGCGAGAGCATCCTACAACACCTGTTCTAAAAGGTCCTATTAACACTTTTAATATTCCGAAGGGGAACACTTAGGTGGTCATAGTCTATCAAGTGTACCAACTGAGGGGCTGGGAAGGTGGTTCAGTGGTAGAGCACTTGCCTTGCATGCAAGAGGCCCTGGGTTGGATTCCTCAGCACCACATAAGCAAAAAGAAAAAAGCCGGAAGTGGCACTGTGGCTCAAGTGGTAGAGTGCTTGCCTTGAAGAGCTGAGGGACAGGGCCCAGAGTTCAGACCCCACAATCGGACCCAAAAAAAAAAAAAAAGAAAAGAAAAGTGTACCAACTGAACCCACTCACTTGGCTTCAACTGGTTGGCAATTGGAATCCATGAGATTCTCCCTATATCACATATCATCTATCTCTTTTGTTAATTCTCCCATTAATAAAACTGAGAAACCTATGCAACAGAGGTCCAACTGATGATGCCCCCTCCCACACACACTCACATATACACTTGGTTCCAATCCTAGGACTTGAATTCAGGGCTTAGGTGCTGTCCTGAGCTTCTTTTGCTCAAGGCCTGTGCTCTACCACTTGAGCCACAGTAGCACTCCTGGCTTTTATTAAAGATAAGAGTCTCAAAGACTTTCCTGCCCACAAACTGCAATTCCCTGATCTCAGCCTCCTAAGAAGCTAGGATTAACAGGAGTGAACCACCAGCATCCAGCTCCCTCTCCTCTCCTGTGAAGGAATGAAAAGGAGATCTAATCTCCTGGTACTTATTTTGTTGGGTTTTGACTTAGTCTTTCTAAAGAATTATACTATTTGACCTCCCCATAGAGTCTATTATACTTTAGTTAATTCATCTATAACCTCCTGCATACCATCCAATGTGTTTACATATAGATTTACAGGTATATCCAAGCTACTATAAATCAGGGAAAACATGCAACATTTGTTTCTCTGGGTCTGACTTATTTCGCTTACTGTAATTTTTCCCAAGTTTTTCCATTTCCTTACGAATGGCACAATATCATTCTTTATAATGGACAAGTACAATAAAGGGGGGCACAGGGGAGAGGGGAAGATGAATGAAGGGGGAAGGAGGGGATAGGCAGTCAAGAATTCATTGTATATACCACAAAATTTTGGAGGGTGACATAGATCAAGATGCATTATATACATAAAATGCTTTGTTAAGTGCCAAAAAATTCAATATATAGCCTACAAAATTAAGAAAAGTGAGGAAAGGGATGGGTTGGGGGGAATGGGTGAGAATGTTGATCAATGGATGACATTGATCAATACGCATTCTATTCATAAACTGCTTTGTTAAATGGCAGCTCCTTTGTACAACTACTTGAAAAGTTATTTTTAAAGGAAAGAAAGAGAAGGAGGTCTAAGCTCAGTTCCTATGTAGGTAAGTGACGCAGCCCAGAGAGGCAGCACTGAGGAAGGAAGCCATGTGAAACTGACAGGAACCCTGTGTGTCTTTCAATCAAATGCTTCACTGTCTCATCTTTACTGGGACACGGACTGTCAAGTTGACACTTAGTTTCTGCTGTCTATTTGGAATTTCACTTGATGTCTCTCCACATCAAATTTATCATCTGTGAAATCACAGGCTCATAGGCTCATGTATACTAAGAGAAACATTCCCATGGGAGCCAAAAGTTCACTCTTGTAACACCTACTATCATTCCCATATGAACTGGAGTGCGCTGAGAAGTACTGGGGTCTTGCCATACAAGTCTGTCTTACAAGTGTTTGCTTAGGTAATTAAGAAGACTTGGGCAAGGAGATTTCATCATGGGGGAACAAAGTGAGGGTTTGAGGATGCCTAAGGAACTTAGCATCTTAATCTAATGGTATCAATCCAGACCTCTAGTCTGTGTTTAACCTCAGGAACCACAGGCTGGCTAGTAAACAGGGTTAGAATGGGCATCTGCTTAATCCCCGTGTTCTTACCAATACGACTGTGGAGCAGAGCTGGACCCCCTGCAATCCTGGACCCCTGGGCAGACTCCTCGGTGGCTAGGCCAGAACTATCACAATCTTCTATTGTTTCTTCGGTCTCCCAGCCCCCTTCCTCCTGCTCATCCAGTTCAGCATCACTGTCCCCCAGCCTGGGAAGTGTCACAACCACTCCTGAGCTATCTGTGGCTCTGATGGCTGTCCGAGCCCTCACCAAGGCCTCCAGCTCCTCATAAAAGGGGCAGGTCCCTGGTGGGTGGCTGCTCTTGGCTTTCCGATAATTCCGCAGGAGGTTTTTGACCCTGTAACGACACTGCTCCAGTGTCCGCAGGAAACCCCGTGCCCTCAGCCGCTCTGCAATGGCTCGGTATACCTGGCGGTTCTGGTGACAAGTCCGGAGCTTTTCAGAGAAAGGAGATTCACTCAAAATTGCCAGGAAAGTCTTGGTCTCCTCATAGCCCCAGTGAACGCCGGACACCTTTATGTCGTCCACATCGCCTTGGTATTGCTCCTCCCAGGCCTTTGAGTCCCTCCAGGCCAATGCCTGAGCTGATTTTATTTGCTCACTATGTATGCTGTAATCTGCAGAGTTCCTTTTCCCAGAATTCATCAGGCTTAGACTCCAGACCTCTTGTCCTTGCTCTGACTGGGAGTTGACACTTGGTTTTGAAACTAAAGCTCCTACACAAAAAGAAGAGAAATGACTAAGTAGAAGTGTTTTGTTGAACATTGTCCAAAATGTTCTAAAGCTTACATCCTTTCACTTAGAGAGTCTGATGAAAGAGTCTCCTTGGAGAGAAGTAACAGGATCATCCTACCAGAACAGGTAAGTGACTGCTTTGGTCATTTACTTTGTGGTTGTTATGTTGTTGTTTGTTATATGCCAAAGAATAACTATGAATGACTCACAGACAGAAGCATGACATAAATCAGCCCAATCAGACTGAATTCCAGTAGGTGTGTGCATGTGTGTATGTATGTGCATGTATCTCTCTTGCCAGGAAACTTATGACCTCTATTGACACTGCCATCTTTTTTTTTTACCATAATTCAAGCAAGCTTTCACATGTGGCCAAGTGCTAGATTGATGGCAGCGGTACTTATCAGCAATATCCAAGCACATGATAAGTAAAAACATATGAAGTTAGGCACCAGAGACTCATGCTTGCAACCCCAGCTACTCAGAAGGCTGAGATCTGAGGATGGTCATTTGAAGCTAGCCTGGGCAGGAAAGTTTGTGAGATTCTTATCTCCAATTAACCATCAAAAAGCTGGAAAAGGAGCTGTGGTTCAAGTGCTAGAGTACTAGCCTTGATGAAAAAAAGCTAAGGTATAGCACCTAGTCCCTGAATTTAAGCCATAGTACCCATATTTTTTCTTTTTTTGGGTCCGGTCATGGGGCCTGAACTCTGGGCCTGGGCGCTGTCCCTCAGCTCTTCAGCTCAAGGCCAGCACTCTACCACTTGAGCCACAGCGCCACTTCCGGCTTTTTTCTTTTTGCTTATGTGGTGCTGAGGAATTGAACCCAGGGCCTCAGGCATGCAAGGCAAGTGCTCTACCACTGAGCCACCTTCCCATCCCCAGTACCCATATTTTAAAAAAAGAAAGAAAAAGAAAAAAAAAAAAGAATCCTACTGTCAAGGAAGTACAACAAATCAAGAAACTTCTATATCTTACCTTACCAAGGGTCAGGCCTGTCAGAGGTATCTTCTACTTCACCGTACTCATGTCTAACTCCCCTCCCGGTAACCCCAGCTTCCTAGGCAGAGGGCTCACTAGTGCTTGGCTTCCCATGCAGGTGTGCTACAGAAAAAGGAGTCTGCACTGGTCACATGGGCGTCAAGTACTCAAGGCCTATGATACTTTACAGTTTTATACACCGGACTCATCGGGCTTCATTCACTTGAGTCTGCCCCAGAGAGGCAGATCTCTTTTGATAGAGAAAGACTGGATTTCTGAGACAGCAGGCTAGGCCCAGCTCCTGGCTCAGAGTAATGTACTGAGGAGAGGAAGGCAAGGAGCCTCGAGAGGGCCAGCTCTGGACAGCCATGCTTCCAACCCTAATCTGGGAATATTGACTCTGCAGGAACAATGTTAGTTTGAAGGAGCAAGTTGTGTCTTCTCTTTGAAATTCCAAAGACTGCAGAGCTACAAATCTTAAAGGAGTGGCACACAACTCTTAGGGAACTGAGTGTACCAGAATCAGGCCATCTTGGGCCCTGGGGAAGGGCATGCTTTCCTTACCCAGATGCACGCTGTTCTCACAGTCATTTGCTGGAGGGTCCTGACAGAGCAACTTGTCAGCATGATTGATGGGGTCCAGGGCTTCCTGTGACATGTGCAAGAGAAGGACTTTAAATATTATGGATCCTTGAAACAGGTTGGGAGTCCTATCAGGCCCCAAGAGAGATCTGTGTAAGACTATCACACAGTGTCCAGACCACAGAAAGGTCCCACAGGCTGGGCTGGCGCCATAGCTAACACCCTGGGTTTTACACTCTTTTGCTGGGAAGAGGCTAGGGGAAGAGGAAGACACTGGAGGGCAAGGGCACAGTAGGAATAATGACAGGCCAGATGCTGGTGTCTCACGCCTAGCTACACAAGAGGCTAAGATCTAGGATGGTAGTACAAGGCCAGTGAGATTGCCAGGAAAATCCATGAGACCCTATCTCTAACATAACCACCAAAAAGCCAGGCTGAAAATACAGCTTAAGTGGTAGAGTGCCAAGCATGCAAGTAATCTGAGCAATTGTAAGACCCTGGATTCAAGCTCTGGTATGAGAAAGAAAAAAAAAAAAATGATAGGAGGGAAAGAACAAAGAGCAGCTCACCTGTGACTCAGCTATCACCTCCCAGTCTTCAATGCTTCCTATCTTTGAGACAGTAGGAAGTCGAGTAGTAAGGACAGCTAGAAGAAGAAAAAAGAAAAACTCTCAACTCCAAGATCTGACTCTAAAAACCACTTTCTTCTAATATCTACCTTTTTTTAAAAACAGTGCTTGGATCCCACTGAGTTACTGCTATGGCCAGCACAGACCTCTTCTTCCACATTCCTTCTAGAACATGGAGTTCCTATTCCCCACTCACCCCATTCCCAATCTCCAGCTGCAGTGAGCTCGCTGGCACTTTCGAGAGCTTCCTCCTCTTTCACAACACTTTCTTACTTAGTAAGTGTGTCTTCAGATATTATCCCTTGCTCTGAATTCTGCACATCCTTCCTTTCCTGTGTGTGTTAGCATTATCCTTACCTTTGGTCCTCAGCTCCATCCAGACCTGAGCTCCTCCCTGCCTTGGAGTTCCTGCCCTACAGCTGGCCACGCCCTCTCTCCGCCCAGACCCACCCACGCACTCATTTACCTTACTTCCTCCCTCACTTCCCCACCCACCGGTGACTTGGAAGTGGGCTTACACCATGTGCTCCCTTTCCCGGGGAGATATGGCCCCTCTAATAAACCTTATGTCTCCCCTGTGGTCCTCTGGAAGGGTCCTGAGGATCCTCACAGTGTGCTCTTCCTTACCTCCAACTCTCTCCCTCTGGCTTCATCTCTATGTTGCCAGATTTTTGGTACTCACCACTCTCTTTCAAGGGCCGAGGCGCCATCTTGGCAGGTAGATCTTTGGGAATGCCAGAGCATGTACTTTCCATCCACTGCTTCCGGGACTGTGTCTCAGGCCACTCATCTGCAGGCTGAGGCTGCAAACTCTGAGATTCTTGCATTGCCTTTAAAGACTCGCTCTCCTCTGCACACAACTCCAATTCCTGCACACAGAGGATCAAAATTCCCAAAGGTCAGTTCAACAATGGTCCTTCCACTTCAGTAACACAGAATGTTTTTTTGCCTATGAGTATGATCCAGGAGTTAAAAGGCTCTTTAAGACTCAAAGACAGCTTCAAGTATAATGACAAAGTCACCAGACTAAGAATATAGACCAGCATTTTTCTACCAAAAGATCATTGCTTTGTTCAGCTCTGGGAAGTTATACAAGTATTTCAAAACAGTTGCCACTATCTGGGAGCTGGGAGCTCATGCCTATAATCCTAGCTATTCTGGAGGCTGAGAACTGAAGATCACAAATTGAAGCCAGTTCAGACATTAAAGTCTGTGAGATTTTTTTTATCTCCAATTAACCAGTAAAAAGCCAGAAGTAGATATGTAACTTAAATGGTGGAGTGCCAGTCTTATGTGAAAAAGCCAAGCCAAATGAGAGCATGAGGCCCTGAGTGCAGGCTCTCCCTCTTCCAAAAAATGCTGCTACTACTCAAAACATTTCTGACTCATAAAAAGATAAACTATGTAAAGTTTTGTGACAGTGGAAATAATGTATAAGCATAAAAATAAGTTGTTTGCTTCTCAGGTAGTTATAACTTAGAGGTACTGTGTGACCAGCTGCGGTGACTGTCTTTATTCTCAACCTCACCACCATCCATCCCTATAGAAACACCCTGAGTCCACAGACAGTAACTGATGACAAAGAAAACGGATACTCAAGTGACAATGAGGAATCTAAAAGACAATACGGCAAAAATTCCTGGTTTCCCAATGCAGATGCTCCACTATAGATGAGTGGATCAAAAAAATGTGGTACCTATATACAATAGAATTTTATACAATCATTAGAAAGAATAAAATAATGTCATTTTCAGGGAAATGGATGGAACTTGAACAAGTCATGTTAAGAGAGGCAAGCCTAGACCACAGAGATAAACGGCACATGTTCTCCCTGATATGCGGAAGTTAGATCTGAAATACACTGGGATATGACCAGTTACACAGAACTCCAGATACTCACATGCAGTGAGACCAAAAGAGAGAGAGAATAGGAGAGAATCACAAAGGTGCAATACCCAAGCGCCTCTTCAGATGTATATAAAATAATACGCATACTGAAATGAACTCCAAAGATATGAAAAAAGGACTTTTTTCTTAATTTGTTTTTTCAGTTGTGGATGACTCTGTATTCTTTACCTTATAAGGTGTATTCACATGCACATCTGGGGGAGGGTTCAGGGAGGGCACAGAATCAGGGGAAAGGGTGAGAAAGTGCATACTGGCTGCACAGGCCATCAAGGAAGATGAACTATGCAACCTGTGGGTGGAAAGGGGAGGGAGGAGGTAGATGAGAAAGAGGGACCAGATGACACTGTGCAATAGAAAATGTACTTGCTAACTGACTATGAAAGGTAACCACTGTTTATTATCTTTAAAATAAGAATAATTTAGCAAAAAAAAAATTCTGGTTTCCAGCCCAGCAAGTAAGGAGCTTACAAGTTGCCAGTCTAGCTCAACAAGCACTAAGGTGAACAAACACATAAATCAACAGCTCTTCATGAATCCATCAGGGCAGGAAGCTCACAGGGCATACAGTTTACCAGAGCAGAAACATCTTCAGGAACTAGTGCTGGGGTTTAAAAACAAAAACACTCAACTGTAATTGACAAGTTGCTGAAGGCTCAGTGTAGACAACTCTGAGGATTAAAAGCTCTAAGAGGAAGGGGGAATACTGTCCAAAAGGAAATGTACTCATTACCTGACTTGTGTAACTCCTCTGAACATCACCTTTATAATAACCATTTTAAAAAACAATAACAAAAAAAGCTGGAAGAGCAGAGGCAGCCACGCTTAGTGAGGCTTTATTTTGTTATTTCTTTTTGTGTTGGTCCTCAGGGCCTGGATGTTGTCCCTGAGCTTTTGTGCTCAAGGCTTAGCACTCTTCCACTTGAGCCATAGGTCCACTTATAGCATTTTGCTAGTTAATTGGAAATAAGAGTCTCATAGACTTTCCTGCCCAAGCTGGCTTCAAGCCATGATCCTCAGATCTCAGCCTCCTGAGTAGCTAAGATTACAGATGTGAGCCACCAGCACCCAGCTACTTTGTGAGTTTTATACACAGGAGTGGTACCAGGTTCTCGTGTACATCACAGAAAAATCCCTTTGCTTCCCAAAGGCTAAGGGGAAACACACCAGCACACTCTGCTATGTTAACAAAGCCTGCTCTAAGTAGGCCTGCCCTCAGGAGAGCTATTTTACCAGCGCTTAACTTAACTTGCAGAAATGAGGTTCCAACTCCAGTTCTTTCCACTCTTACACTCAAGGACAGGAAATGCCCAACTGAAGCCTGTTAAGGCCTCTTGTCTCATCTAAGGGCCAGGAAGGTTTCAAAAAATTATCAGACCAGATATTTTTATACTATCAGTGGTCTAAATACACCATTTAAAAGAGATCATTTGGGGCTGGGAAGGTGGTTCAGTGGTAGAGCACCTGCCTTGCATGTATGAGGCCCTGGGTTCGATTCCCCAGCACCACATAAGCAAAAAGGAAAAAAGCCGGAAGTGGCTCTGTGGCTCAAGTGGTAGAGCGCTAGCCTTGAGCTGAAGAGCTGAAGGACAGTGCCCAGGCCCAGAGTTCAGGCCTCACGACCTGAACTAACTAAATAAAAAATAACGGGGCTGGGAAGGTGGCTCAGTGGTAGAGCACTTGCCTTGCATGCTCGAGGCCCTGGGTTTGATTCCTCAGCATCACATAAGAAAAAAAGCCGGTGGCACTGTGGCTCAAGTGGTAGAGTGCTAGCCTTGAGCTGAAGAGCTGAGGGACAGCGCCCAGGCCCAGAGTTCAGGCCCCACGACGGGACCCAAAAAATAAATAAATAAATAAATGAGATCATTGCAGTTGAGTCAAAAGAAAAGACCCAACTACATTTCATCTGCAAGAAGTCCACTTTAAATATAGATTAATATCAAATATAGATTAAAAAGTAAAAGGAGGAGAAAAGATAAATCAACCTAACATTATTCAAAAGAAAGTGAAGGTGGTGGTACATGCCTGTAATTCTAACTATTTAGGAAGTGGAGATAAGAGGATCTCAGCCAATCCAGGTCCAAAAAGATAAAAAATAGTAGTTCATGCCTGTTATTCCAGTTACTAAGAAAGTAGAAGTAAAAAGATTATGGATTTAGGCCAGCCTTGGCAAAGTAGAAGACTCTATCTGAAAAATAACTAAAGCAAAAGGACTAAGGATGTTAGCTCAAGTGGTTGAGTGCTTGCTTACTTACCAAGCAAGGCCCTGAATTCCTCAGGAGAGAGAGAAGAAGAGGGAAGGAGAGGGAGGGAGAGGGAGGGAGAGAAGCTACATAAATTTCAGACATAGACTTCAGAATAAGAAAAATCATCAGGGACAAAGAGTGGCATAAAATGGTAAAAAAAAAAAAAGTATAAAATGATACAAGGGTCAATACTCCAAGAAGGCAAAATAATCCTCAATATATGTAAGTATTTCATGTACTCTTAATCCTTAATGTGCCCAACAATAGAGCACCAGGATAAATGGGGCAAGAACTGAGAGGAATGTAAGAAAAAAAACAACAGACCATTCCACTGTTATAGTCAGAGACTTCACTCCCTCTCTTAGAAGTAGACAGAACTAACAGACATAAAACTAGCAAAGGCACAGTTGAACTAAACAGTACTGTGAGAGGAATCAGATCTAATTGAAACTCTATAAAGTACTTTCTCTAACAACAGCAGAATGTACATTCTTTTCAGCTCCCGTTTGTCAAGATAGACTAATTTGGGGCCATAAACTATACTTTAATGGATTTAAAATAAGAAAATTATATGATGTGTACTCTTGGATCACGAGGGAATTAAACTATAAATCAGTAACAAAAAGCTAGCTGGAAAACGCCAACATACTTGAAAATTAAACAACAGATGGACTAAAGAAGATATCTCGAGAAATTTAAAAGTATTTTCAGTAAGTGAAAATGAAAATACAACTTAATGGAACATGTGAAGGCACTGCTTAGAGGAAATCTTATAGCATTTAATATGGATGTGAGACAAGAAGAAAGATCTAACATCAATAATCAAAGCTTCCACCTGAAAAGACGAGAAAAAATAAGAGTAAATTAAACCCAAAGGAAGAAAAAAAAAAAAGAAACAAAAAAAACTGGAGCAGAAATCAATGAAATTGAAACCAAGAACTCAATAGAGAAAAATCTACAAAAACAAAAGCTTGTTTCTTTGAGAGGATCAGTAACACAGATAAGCCTCTAGTCAGAGTAAGAAAATAAAGACAGAAGACAAATTACTCATATCAGAAATGAAAGCAAGGCCAGCCCTACAAATCCCATGGACATTAAAGGACAATAAAAGAATATGAGAAAGTCTTTGCTGACACATTTGATAACTAGGATGAAAAAAATACAACTCCTTGAAATTCACTATCTGCCAAAGCTCACATAAGGAACAAACAACGTCAATAAACCTGTATTTTCTATATGAAAAACTAAATCTATAATAACCTTCCAAACCAGAAACAAGCACGGACAGGTTCACTGGTGAATTCTACCAAATTTTTAAGGCAGAAATTATACTACTTCTCTATAGTCACTTCTAGAAGACAGGTGAGGAAATATTTCCATAATTATTCTTTTTTTTTTTGGGGGGGGGGTCCGGTTGTGGGGCCTAAACTCGGCCTGGGTGCTGTCCCTCAGCTCTTCAGCTCAAGGCTAGCGCTCTACCACTTGAGCCACAAGCCAACTCTGGCCTTTTTCTTTTTGCTTATGTGGTGCTGAGGAATCGAACCCAGGGCCTCAGGCATGCAAGGCAAGCGCTCTACCACTGAGCCATCTTCCCAGCCCTCCATAATTATTCTAAGAAGCAGCATTAACCTCATACCAAAATCAAAGACCATAAAAGAAAAACAGAGATTAAGCTAGGTGTAAAAACAACAAAATATTAATTAGCAGAGCAAATTCAA